ACACTGCCTGCAGGAAATTAAGGGGAAAGCCGTAACTTTGCTGTAATCTGTGCATCTGACTTGTTCCCTCCTCACCACCTTGTGTGCATGTTTCAAGTGGTTGGCAGCGTTGCACGCACATTAGTCGAGCTTGCTTTGCTGAGTTGTGCTCTGCTTGTGGCTGATCGGGTGTGGTGAGTGATGATGAGAATCTGCCGGCATCGCAGGCTGGTTCTATAATAATATATGTATCACTTTAATCACATTCATCTCAACCACTAGCTATCTAAACTAGTCTAACTAGTCTAACTCAGAGTTTATATATACACTTTATATATTCATATTCAGCAGTTTATCTGGAACATGATCATCATATAAGATCAAAAGCCCCCTCCCCTCGCTGTATTTGCTCTTTATCAGGCTGGACATATTTTGTCATGACTTCATTCGCACCTGACACTTAAAACACTTAGAACACTTTGCACTCCACCCTTCGGGTTTCATGTAATTCTGCTGATTGAGGAAATGAAGCTGTTGCGCTCATTGTCAGCTTTGACTAAAACCCTGACGTGAAAATGAAATGTCAAATGAAAGTGCAGTATTTAACTCAGGACCTGAAGGATTTGGAGTAGCTCGGAGTAGCTTGCCTGAAGAGCTCTGCTTTCAGATCTTATTTGAAAACCTAAAAATACTGCACGTAAGTAAAAAGTAAAGGTCCTGCATTCAAAGTGTTCATTTATTCAAAGTACAGAGGCTTTATGAGCAAAATGCACTTAAAGTATCAAAAGTATCAGGACTCATTAGCTAGAAGTGTTATGATACAGTATATTCTATTACTGGATATCATTATTCAGTGTTGTAATTTGTCTATGTGCAGCCAGTTTTAGATGCTTTACACACTACAGGGCGGTTTAGTAGCAAAGCACTTTATCATTTTCTATGTGCTCCTAATATGTGTTGCATGTCAAATCTGCAACTACAGCTGTTATTTAAGTGCAGTGCAATAAAAAGTACAATATGTTGTGTGTAAATGAAAACTAAAGTACAAGTCGCACAAAACTGTATTGTAATACAGTTCTTAGTTTGGGTTTTACATAGATCCTCCAACTCCACAGTTTGGTTCAGACTTAACCCTGACTTAAATGCAGCCAGGTGGTCTGCAGTCTCAGGCTTGTTGGTAATCAATACTTTTGTGATCTAAATGTATTATAGTGTTAATTAAGAAATGTAAAATGAGTTTTTTGTGACATTAGTGACGTAATAAGAACAGAAGAAGCTGCACCTGCAGCAGGTTAACACCTTCACAGTGTTCTTCTTGTATCATGACTGTAGATCGTTGACATTTATATTGCGGTTTCCTTCTTGGTTTCACAGTCGTTGCGCCTTCAGTATTACATGTGAAAAATACGGATTGTGTGTTAACCACAGGATTCCCCAGTATGAAATGAAATAACCTTATTTGTCAGTGTGGGGCTCTCCTAAAGTCAAATAAATGCAAACAACTACACATCAGCCCTAATTTGACGAAGATACATGAAAACGTCCAGTTTAGAGACGGAGGGGGGAAAACTGAAGGAGCAATAAGGAAGAGGTGGATAAGCTTCAAAAAAGAGAAGAGGACATGAGGAGAGTGAAGCGAGAGAAAGTAGCAGAGGAGCCGATGCAAAGAACAGAAAATGTAGTTCCACAAATGGTCACTAGAGGGAGGCAAACGACCGAGCAGAGAGACCGGGTTGGTCTTCAGATTCTGAGACATTTTGATGTGTCTTGGTCAGCTCTCCCTGTCCCCGCCCTGTGTTTTGTCTCCTGTTTATTTGGTGAATTCCAGTGAGACAATAGGCCGCTACGCAGTGAATATTTCACCAGTTTTCTCAGCGCTCACTCACTTCCAGGCAACACTTCACTGTGCTCTCAGTAGTGAGTAATCAAAGGATGATTCCTCGAAACATTTCTGTTTCAGTGTATCCATCCACTTAAAGCTCTTTACTGTCTGTGTCTTATCTGCTTCACTTTAATTCAGATGCTGTGAATCTGCCCTGCTCCCTGCTCTGCCACACTCAGTCTCCACTGTCGCCACAGTTTTATATTTTAATTATGGCTGAAGCCTGTAAATGGTTAATGTAATGAAAGTTGTGAAATGGAGCAAATTATGCACCAAACTGTCTAAATCTATTGTTCTATTGTTTTAAATGGCCCAGTGAATCTAAAAGCAAGCTGCTGCCAGATTGTGTGTGTGTGTGTGTGTGTGTGTGTGTGTGTGTGTGGGTGTGTGTGTGTGTGTGTGTGTGTGTGTGTGTGTGTGTGTGTGTGTGTTACATTAATAGGGCCCTTTTATTGAGCTGTCATTAAGACTGGGGGTTCCAGGGTTGTTATGGGGGTGAGGGGCATTCTTCAGATTCTCCCTTGACCAGACACACACAAACACACACACACATACACACGCACACGCACGCACACACACACACACACACACACACCCACACCCACACAAAGGCAGAGCATTCTTTATGGCTGCTGGCCACACTGTGGCTCCTGGCACTGAGCTCCTTATTTAGTCAAAAAAGCTGCAGAGTCACTTCTCTCCCTCGGTCTTCACGGCCTCTGCTGTTCTGTTACTCAGAGAAAGAAAATGAGTTGAAGGACAGGAACTTGTGTATGTATGAGTTGTCAAGATTTGCAAATTTTATCAAATGAGTTTGTCATATTAAAGGAGCACTCCAGAGATTTGGTATTGCACTTTCACGTAAGTTTACTTACAAATCACAGATTTTATAAAGAATAGTGAAAACTGAAGTAGGAGAGGTCAAGATATTCAGATTTTTAGTCCCTAGTATGAGTCAAGCTTCAAAAATGCTGCATCCTACAACTCCCATAATGCAGCTGAATAGAGAGCCAAACTCATAACGTCATGTCCGAGCTAACCTCTGCTCCATTAGCGTCTGTGACTGCAGTCTCTCGTTCGGCATGTTGTCATCCGTCGTTCTGTAAAAATGAAGCGTCGCCCTGGGGTTTAGTTTCCGTCATCGGAGACAAGTCTCCAGCCACTACTGCTGTAAGAAACTGAACCCTTCATGATTTAAACACACGTTATAGCTACCACAAAAACTACAGCTTCCATATAAAAAAACTACAAGCATGGCGACACAGGTATTTATGTCATCATAACTTGGTTTCATTTCCATAGAAAGTCGCTGGCGCTCTCCTCTAAAGTCATTTTCCTCAACTTTCCACAACAAGAGTTGTAATCCCTGCTGTCTAAGAACGTCTACAGTGTTAGGAACATTTGCAAGACTTCTGGATTATAACATCTGCCAGCCCGTCCCCTCTCTATCTCCTCTCCTGTACTGTGATTCCCCACATTATGTGACAAACCAGAGAAACAACCAAAATGTGTCCAACTCACTGAGGAAATCCGGGGGAGAGATGTCTCTTTGACACAAATGAGGAAACTGTCAGTTTTTAGTGAAAATGAAGAACATTTCCAAATTAACCTTGTTACATTTAGAGAAACTTCCTGCTGCTATAAAACACTGAGGCTGCTATTAGTTCATCATATAGTGCATACTTGGTGTGTGATCTCATGTTTGGTCAGTCCGGTGAGGACTACCAGAGGAGGTGGGTAAGGCTGGTGTCTAGACACTCAGTGTCTGGCTGATCCACACTGTGACCTCTTTAAAGATAAGGCTGCACACACGGCACAGTGATGTCACACGAACACACGCATGTCACTAACACACGCATGTCAGAAGTAGAAATTTAGGCTGAAAGTATGTGCACAAATAAGCACACAGTCCCCGCTTACAGGCACAAACAACAAAGCTGCATTCAGGCCAAGAGACAGAAACAAACACAGTGACCCTGTGATCCTCATATCCCTCTGGATATCTCAAATATTTATTTCACTGCAGCCTGGGACCCATGAGCACGAGCATCAGATGAGCTCATATCCTCACAGGGACCCTGAACATGGGCCCTTCATTTCTGCAGGATTGTTCTTGGAACCGTCAGTAAGAAAAAAAAACAAAAACAAAGTCAGATTCATTGTAGGTGTACACACAATGTATAATCAGTAAAGCTGATTCTGATCCTGTTTGGTACAGCATCACTTCGTTTCTCCAGCTCAGAAAATAACCTCCTTTCCCTCCAGTAGCTACAACATTACTGTTACTTATCAAGCAGGTCTAGGTTTTATATTAATACTGTGAAAGTATCAAAGAGCTCAGTCCCCAGAGAAATGCATCCAGCCTGGATTCAGAAACTGAGCCTTAAAACGAGCCGTCAGGACTTCTGTAACTTTGTGACATCACAACAAAGCAGTCACCGCTCTCAGCCGTGTCCCAAGCCTGGCGCACCTGGAACCACTATCCAACCTTGCAGCATTTGGTTTCTCTATGAGTGTTTACTTGAAATTCGCTATATTTTTATTGGATCACTCAGAAAACAGTCAGCGAGCCAGGTCAGTGAGCCAATCAGAGGGGAGCCTCTCTTCCCACTGACCTGTTGTTACTAGAGCTCCAGAGAGAAGTCTGAGAGAGAAGAGTTAAAACCACACTGAGATGGTTTTTGGTTCTTAAAACCACATATACATCTTCTAATCGATCAACACTTCAAATAATAAAAGTGTAAAATATAGGACCTTTAAAATCAATTTTCAGTGACTGTGAGGTTGAATTGATTAACCCAAAGCATATGTGGACAATTTTACTCTTATGTTATTTATTGGACAATGTGTTGAGAAATATACTGACTTTTCTTTTCCCTCTGTTGTCTCTCCCCCACAGCTTTTGGTCAGTCTGGTTTTAATCACTGCCATTTGACAGTCCAGCTAAATGTGTGTCAGTTTATTCTTAAACGGGTCCTGTACATGAAAACGTGTATCACAGCCTTAGAGCTGCCTCATTGGACGAGTTTCTCACTTGGACAGTTTCAGTTTCATCCAGAACAACTCCCTTTTCTGACATAGCCGCCTCCTCTCGATGAGAAAACTCTATCTCCGGGCTATAAGTCACTCTCTCATGTTAACTGCTTTCTTTCTTTTTCTTTCCTCTCAAACACAGACGAGCTAGAAAGAGAGAGAGAGAGAGAGCGAGAGAGAGAGAGAGAGAGAGAGAGAGAAAGGGAGCGGCCACGCAAAGTTGAGCAGACTCCACCCAGAAAAACGCCAGCGAACCGAGAGACAGCCGAGACCATAAAAATGAGTGGTTCCCACCCCCGGCTCCACCAGAGCGCCGCGCCCGCTCCCAACGCTCTCTCCACGGACAAGGACGCAGAAATGCCCGCCACGGAGAAGGACCTGGCCGAGGATGCGCCGTGGAAGAAGATCCAGCAGAACACCTTCACCCGCTGGTGTAACGAGCACCTGAAATGCGTCAACAAGAGGATCGGCAACTTGCAGACGGACCTCAGCGATGGGCTGCGGCTCATCGGGCTCCTGGAGGTCCTGTCCCAGAAGAAGATGTTCAGAAAGTACAACCAGAGGCCCACCTTCCGCCAGATGCAGCTGGAGAACGTGTCGGTGGCTCTGGAGTTCCTGGACAAGGAGAACATCAAGCTGGTGTCCATAGGTGAGTCACACACGTCTCTACACACCGCAAAAACAATGCTGAGTTTAATGAATGGGTGCCAGTGTGTGCGCTTCGGAGTGGCAGCTGTCCCCTAACACATCTCCACCTTCATTCAGGTTTCCTCTCTGTTGTTGTTGCTGCACACACGTTTGGTTTTCTTTAAGAAATGAACCTGGGTGGTGCTAAGCAGCAGCTAAACTTCAGTGCCATATAGAAGCAGATAGTTTAAAGAACAGTACATGTGTGCAAGCCTGCAGGAATAAAGTTGAGCATGTTGCTGCCCAGGAGAGAAAAAAAAATCATCTTTTTAAAGAAAAAGTGGTGGAAACACACTTGAGTTTAGTCATGTGAAGGAGCGTCAGATGAGTCCACAGGAGGGTGTTGGTAACATTACTCAGGGAGAAAAGCAGGCGTTTCTTCGGTGTCCAAGGGGCGCAGAACTTTTGTCTCTGGCTGTCCAGATTTGAGGCGGGTTGTTTTGGGAGGAGGGGGTCTGACTGTGTGCAGAGGGGCCCCAGGCTTTCTCTGTTTCCCCTGCTGCCCGAGCCGGGCTGGGCCGGTCTGAGGCAAACTTTGTGGGCCGGGATGTAATTCGGGCCTAGTGGGATAGGGGAGCTGATCCTGTACACACACCCAGACACACACACACACACACACACACACACACTCTCTTTCTCTCTCTCTCTCTCTCTCTCTCTCTCTCTCTCTCTCACACACACACACACACACACACACACAGACACAGGGCTATTGTCTGTGCTCATGTCGTGCAGTGGGCTGGGGCTGGGTCTCCACAGCATTAGACAGGACTTGGCTCATGCTTGGTGACATAAAACTGGGTTTAATGGGCTTTGCCTACATGCAGCTGCTCACAACACTGATGATTTTGCAGTTGTGTGTGTGTGTGTGACTGCGGGTGAATTAAAGTCAGGTTCTGCTGAGCTGTGATACAGACTCAGGAAAATACAACAGTGAGGAGTGGCTCTCAAAGAGGCTCAAGGGCCTTTGATTCATAATTGTCCATAGTTGAGATTGCATAAGAAGGATTGATTAATTCTAGCAGATGTTTCACCCCCACACACCTGGATAAAAGAGAGACAACAACAACAACACCTGTCCTGTCCCGAGACAAAACCTTTTTCAACACTGAGTCTGTGGTTGGAAAGAACAGAAGAGGTTTGTGACTGAGTGTGTGTGAATCAGACATGAGTGAGTCCCTGTCATCCCCGGGGGAATGTCTGGCTCAGCTCATGGTTTCCACACACATGCTACTACTTCCTGCAGCAGGCGACAGGTGAGGTGGTGGCACTGTTTGAACGCTGGGTTAAATACAGTTGTACCCCAAAACTTTCATCTTGCCAGAGAGGAAAAGGTGGAGTTTCACACCATGAGTTGATATGGTGTTTATCAAGGCTGTGGTTGGTGATAGAAGATACTATCTATGCAAATGTGATAGTTGTATGAGTCACATTTTCAAATGCAGCGCGCCTCAGATTAAGAGGTTCATTTTACCGGACAAAGAATTCGCACTCATTGCTAAAGGGAGATTACTTTTCTGATCCTGATGCCATCTGATTGTTGTTTAATTAAACAATGCACTTCTTGTATTCGGGGCACAGCACCAGGCAACAATGAGCCATCCCACTCAGCTCTGTCTGTCCGTCCGTCTGTCTGTGCCTCCAGCTGACTCACCCTCATCCTAGCTGCTCCTTCTGAGTCATTTAATCTGAAGATGAGAGAGGAGCACGCTCTCCTCTTTTACTTCCTCCTTTCATTGCAGAAAATGGACACACCCAGGCAGCAACCCTCACCACAAGTTACTAAACTGCCATCACTGCTCGGCATGATGCACACGCTTTCTCCTTTTGTCTTTGGCCTGAAGTTTTTCTGTGTTTCTGTTTAATTTCACCTCTTTACTTTTACTTCAAACTTTATTTTTACAACACTTTCTACACCTTTAGTCATTTTCCTAACTGATGACTTTTCAGTTTTCTTTGTGTGTTGGATCTTCATGTCCACACCTCTTTCATTTCTCCTTTTACTTATCTATTGCTTGCTAAAAATGGACAAGTACGCAACAGTGCCTACTATAACTTTTTCCTCTTAAGTTACTCAAGAAAAACCAGTAATTTGCACCACCCAAAAGGCAGAGAGTGACAAACAGGACAAAGGCTGCAAATAACAATCAGTAATGTAATTTATATTATAAAATGTTTGGAAAGAGAGAAACGCAGCCAGTCAAACTCTTCAAATGGCATTTATTTCCCAATCAACAGTGCAAAACCCAAAGTTTACAGCAATATAGAAGAGGACAAAGCAAATATATTCATGTTTGAGAATTTTGGGAAATAGGTTAAATTTCTTTCTTGCCGAGAGTTAGATGAGAAAATCGATTCCAGGTAACAATGAAACTGGAGGCAGTAGCTTGTTAGCTTAGGTTAGCATAAAGACAAGAAACAAGGCTAGCTTTGCTCTGTCCAAAGGTTTAAAAATCCACTTAGCGGACCATCTAAAGCCCCCCAAATAACATTTGCTATCTTGTTTGTTTAATCCGTTGAAAATACACTGTGTAAAAAAAGAAAAGTTGTGGTTTTATGTGCCAGATGTTACTACACCCGACAAAAGAAATAGTCCCCAACACACCCACCACTAAAACCACAACTTTTCTTTTTTACACTTCTGTTTTTGTACAGATTAAACTAACAAGATACTACCCGTGAGCTGGTGAGCTTTACAGCTGCTGGTGGTGTATTTTGCCACCTGTAGAAAGAGCCGTGGTGCCTGTTTCCCCTTGTTTCCATTCCTTATGCTAAGCTAAGATAACCACCTCCTGGCTGTGGCCTCACAGTTACTGCAGTGGTATCAATCTTCTTGATTGAAGATGTAATAAACTATTATATTAAGTGATTAACTGAATTTCAAAATAGTTGATTTTGAACTGATTAATTGATTAGTCGACAGTTTCAGCCCTATACTGGAGCTAACAGGGCTGCCACTTAATGCTAACCCTGCCCAAACTCCTGTTTATCATTACCTGTGGTCTGCTGCACCAGCTTTAATCTCAGTGCCCTGACATGTATCATCATCATCATCATCATCATCATCATCATCATCATCATCATCATAATCACTGAGATGAGGGTTGTTATTTGAAATGGATCCGCTCCTGTATCATCATCATGCTGGATCGTTCAGCTCTACCCTGTGGTACATCCTCCCATTCCCAGCACAGGCTGCAGTTTAGCGTTGACTCTAATGAGGTCTCAACCCGACAGGTAATCTCTGACTCTGCAGCTCTGACAAACCCCCACATGATCTATCTGGCACCAGCAGCAGACACATGACCACTGATAAATCCAGAGGAGGACTCACATGTACTCAGTCATGAGCGCAGTGAAAGAGTGACAAGGCTGCCATCTAGCAGCCAGAGGAGTGAACCAGGGGAGAGACACTGACTGTAACACTGATTTAACAGGCACAGGCTCATTAGGTCTCATACTGTCAAATTAGCAATTGGTAAATTTCTCGGTGTGATTTTCGTGGGTCTGTATGTTTAGTTTTCTTGGATGATATGCATTTTTTTTTTTTTTTTATGTGTATCTGTTCATCAGTTTATCTTTAAATCTTAAGTTGTGTGCGGACGTGTCTGTGGTGCATGAGGAGAGAACTGCTCATGTGGATATTCCTCTGTGTTCATCACACCCATGTTTGAACAGGCTCAATCATTTCACTTGGCATCATCCTGCTGATGTTTGTGTGCGCGCTGAGGCTTTAACACAGTAGCTGTTAAGCAGATTAAGACTCAGTGACTGTTTTATTAGACAGACGCTCTTTGTGCAGACGTTCGTGCTTTGTCAGCTTTTCGTCTGCAGCATCTTTGCTTTAGTCCAGCCCAGATTTTAAAACCTCTCTATCTGAACTTGACCGAGCCTGTGTGGAGTTTGTCGAAAAACAGTACGATGGCCCAACGGTGCCAAACTCTTCCCGGCACAGGCAGGATGTGAAATAAACAGAGCTGTGGTGTAACTTTGTACCTGGCTGCTCCCCTGTCTTTGCCTGGGAGCAGAGACTTGCAGGTTGAGACAGACGCCTGTGTGGCAACAACCAGGCTCCTCCTGTTACACGGTTACATAATAATAAAATGTGCTCTATATTACTGATAAAAGACGGAGATAACGTACTAACTGTTTAGCAGAAGGTCTTCTTAGCACTTAGACTGAGACATGGGCTCATTTCAGTAGGTTTAAAGTCACAGTATGTAATGTCTTAGAGAGGAAGTAGAATCATTTTCTTTTAAGGACTAAAAAGAATTTAATCCGTAGAAGTAAAACACACCTCTGCTGCAGTCTTACGTTGTCTGGTTTGACCAGTAGCTAGATATAGAATGGCAAAGATTAGTGGAAGAAAATGAATCACTAACTGTTTTGATAATTGATTGTTTGTCATTTTTAAGCCAAAATTTGAAATATTTGATGTTCTAGGTTTAAAATGTGGGAATTTGAGTCTTTCCTTGGTCTTACATGACAGGAAACTGAATATTTTGAGGTTGTTTGAACAAAGCAAGATATTTTTTACATCGAACAGGTATTTTTATGTTTTCTGCTGATTTATTGAGCAAATAATAAAACAAAAATAATAATTAGCTGAATAATCGATAATGAAAATAGCTGTTAGTTGTTCCCTTAGTGACTAATGGTGGTAAACTTTAAATATTGCTGTGTAACTCACTGAGTCAGTTTCGGTTACAGCACGATTATAGGCTATTTTTTTTATTATGTCACAGATTATCATTCCTCTGCAGGAAAACAAAACACAACATGTTTATTGAAATGTTCATCTGTGGCACAAGTAGCGCAGCAGCACAAGCAAAGAAGAGGAATAAAGTTTCCCAACATTTGAGCCATTAGCTGCTCGTCACAACAGACCGAGTAAGACTGACGCAACAAAACCTCTGAGTGTGTTGTAGTGAGTGTGTGTTTCATAGCTTATTACTTCAACTT